AATGTAAACATAAAAAACATTCTGTTCAACCTATGGTTTATAACTTTTGAATGGAAACAGTCAGAGAAGACTTTTGTTGAGTTAACTAAAGTGAATAAATAACTTTTTTGCTCAAAGACATTTTGGGGTATAATTAATGAAAACAGTTTAGAATAGGAACTGTAGCCGCAAGCTTATAACGCATTTATAAGTTTCATCGCGAGATGTAACTCTCAAAAACTAAGCTGCTGCTGCTTAAATTAGTCGTTCATACAAGGCTAGCTTTGTGGTTCTTGTGATCCAAGGACACTAGGCACTGTATGAAAAATATTCTTGGTATAAGGAATTATTATTAGTTGACTCACTGACTGAATTTTCAACTTCTTGTAAATCACGTTTATCATGTTTTTTGTAATCCTCTGCACCAATGGTTTCAGGCAGTAGGTAAAGCTGGTTTGGGATTCCTGCTTGAGTGTGGTATCAAGATTTACGGACGTAGTGGCAATTTCAGGACTCTTTAATTTCATTAAGAGCTGTTTGAATAAAAGGGCTGAAGCAGAACCAAGCGCACTCTAAATGAAGGCTATTGCTTATGTCCAAAACCCCTCGAGCAACAAGATCTTTAAAAAAATCAATCTACCACGAGGACCATGATCTGCGCAACATTGCCCACCATGCTTTGATTTGCTGATTACTATGAGATGACCTGTACCGATGTGCTTTCAAATCTGAACAGGAATCCATTTGATTACAACGTAAAAAGCATTGCATTGATGCCATAATCCCATTTTCAGTTCTTCTATTGGTTTGAAGAATTGTTGGACAAAACTGGAATTCTTTTACGCTGTCATAGTAAAGTTTGCCCACCACACAGTGGTCATTATTTTACCTTACGATTTCCTCCAGGACGTTTTAAAGAATTGGGATTGCATAAAGAATGACCCTGATGCACTAAAGACGTATTTAGAGCACCGACCACCTCCGTCAAAAAAGATTGTACGACCAAACTTGAATGTGATTGCCAAATCCTCTGCCTCTGGTCTGACTGCTACTATGTCTATGATAAACCCATTGCTTTTAACAACAACTACAGCCAGATGCATTAGCCCGCCTTTACCTTCAACTTGCGCACAGGTGAATCCCGATTGTGGTCAGCTAAATATCGCTAACGTACCAATTGATATTTCTAATCATTTCCAGTATCTGAAGTCTCACGAATACGAGCTGATTAGGACTTTCTTTGCAGAAATTAGTTTCATTGAACCAGAGGAATTTTTCAAGAATGACATCATGAGTTATGAATCTCTGATGAAAACATTTGCATCTGTGTCGTATATATGTAACACTTTTTCTTTCTTACAAAAATCGTATATGGCTTTTTCGCTAAAGGGTAGAAAATCTGGTTTAAAAAATGCATTGCAAGAAATTGATTCTTTATGTAAAGAATTGGTAGATTTGCTCAAGTGATTCTTCGGAGCCGGAAGATGTACTCGGTCTCCTTCAAGTAACAGCAAAAAACTCTTCCATTCAATCAATTCTCGTGACCATCTGAAATCGTTGAGAAAAATAGCTTCAGCGTTATCAGCTCCCACCCATGCATACTAGTCGGATGCTGGGTTAGTAAACGTATCGAACAGCAGCTCCGAAGACCTTAATAAAAACGATTTTCCACAGTTTGTTGGGCCTACCAGCAATATGTTTCTAAATTTTCCTCTTCCATATTCTAACAACCGCTTAATTGCCATTGCATACACGACAGGATGAATTTTGTTGTTGATCAGAACCTTGTTTGCGCATTTTAGCCAGTGACCTTCGCATCCTTCTGTACAGTTTGCTTCCGAGAACTCGTGAATTATGTCCATACGTGACTGGCTTTTGCGGAGTATAATTTTGGACGCCTCTTTCATTTTCCATGTCTGCTCCAACAGCTCATCGAGAGACCCTGATGAACGAGATAGAACAAACTGTGCTAGATCTTTTTTTCCTTGCTCGTTCTGTTCGTCTGCAAAAGCCAAGAGTGATGTTTGATCTTTAATTTTATGCTTCGTAATAAATTCGGAGACATCAATGTTTGTTAGTTTCTTGATTTTCGCCACACTGTGATATTTCTCACAATGTTTGTCAGTTTGAGATGTGGAGCTGGTGCCTGATAATTGAGAACGCTTTCGATGATAAGCTTGCTGACAACTGCTTATAATCGGGGAGCCAATTTCATCCAGGTTGGGATGGTTATTGCTGTGAAAGACATCTTCGTCGAATTTCCGTATGTATTTGTACGCGGAATAGTAGCCTTCGTGGTCTGAGAAATGCACCACAATTCCGTGATTCGTTTCAAGGGCTTTTTTGCAGCCCAACCACCTCTTTGGAGCCGAAACCTTTAAAGCCATGTGATAATGAAAGCCGTGCTGTTGGTGCCTCTCAATGCAACATGCCCAGTGTTGTGGCGATGATTTGCTTTGTGGGGATGTAAAGGCTTCAACTACAGCATCAGCAAACGATTCTCTAGTAGGAAATTTTTGAAGATCGGCTTGGCTATATGTTATTAAATAGCAACACCGTGGTTCTCTGCTATAAATTTCGTCTATTGGTACCGCCATTTTGCATAACCGTTAAGTTGCAATATGAAAAATTCAAATTTCCCGCTGAAAGTTAATAATTAACCTTGATGTAAACAGACTTTAGAAATTATATTTCCGCTACTTAAATCTTTTTAGCTTAAACTCTACCGATGAATAATGATATGTGGTGGCTATTGATAGCTTTATAGAAAAAAATTATTGAATGTAGATCGCCTTTTGCAGCCAAGGGGGCATAGACAATCATGTGCAAAAATTATGAGACTTTACGTATTTTAAACACATTTTTTTCATTTTGACAACTATTTTGTCACGTCTTTCGTTAAACTATTGACTATTCCCCCCTCCCCCCATTGACAATGTTGAGAGTGATATTTTCGGCAAATCAAATGGCTTGGTGTCATAGAAACAACATTGTTTTGGGGGGAGAGGGGGGTAGATTCTAGGTGTCATGACCGTGTCTCAATAATTTTTGCACATGATTGTAGGTGCATTGATGCCCACTTGTTTCCAGACAAGGTATACATTGACTGACACCAGGATTTATAGTCATCGGAAGCTTGAAGACTGGAAACATTGTCTGATCCAAAAAATTTCAAATTATATTTCGAGATATTCGACTTCAATTTAACAATGCATTGTCTTTATTTTTCCACTCCTTTTAACTAAAATACAGTGAAATTAACTTGAAAGATAACAAAATAACTATTACATAACGATCTGGCCTTCCTTGTCCTCATTGCCGCTGACCTGTGATAACTTCACGTCTTTTTGTTTCACTCCTACAATGGCGGAGCAAGAAAAATTTTCAGCGAGGGAAGAAATGAATAATCCAGACCCATCCACCCGTGAAAACACCATCGAAGGTAGGAATGCGGATCCAAAGAACCTCGCTCAGGCTATAGTGGCCGATCGAGAGTTCATAACTTCGATTTCGGCAGCAATTCTTGAGAATATTGCTCCGCAGTTGGCTAGACACACAGGCAACATCGTTAGTGCCACTTCGGTTGGGTTTTCTGCTCAATCAGATAAAGATAAACCCGTTGTATCTTATGATCAATCGGGTATGGCTCAAACAGCAAACTCCGTTGTATCAGTTGATCAAACGGATGCCATAAATACAACAAATCCTGTTACGTCCGATGACCAGACAGGTCGTATGAGCAAAAAACGGCACCCAGAGACGGTAATTGACGTAGAATCTTATACACCAGGGTCTAAGCGTGCCCGTTCCGATTCTGCTACAGAAGGTGATATTTTATCATCTAATTCGTGTTGGGAAGCCAGTGAGGAGCTTGCTGCTTTCCTTACAACAACAACTAGCAAACCACTTAGCAAATTTGACCAAAGAACCCTGGTCAAGGCATTCCCACGACCGGATGTTAGCGCCATGTATACACCTTCAATGGATGAATACCTCAAATCATTTGTCCAGGGAATCACGATCCCAGACAAACCACTCAGAGAAATGCAGGACCATATCTTAGATGTTTTTGGTCCGTTATCTACAATCTATGAGAATCTCTTGGAGATGGCTGAGTCATGTAATAAGGACGGAGTCATTGAACTGAATAAGGAAAGTGTCCAGGGCTTCCTCACCTGTATTAAACATGCAATGCTACTGACAGGTGATGCTTCCGCTCGAATTTCGGTGAGTCGAAGAGAGCTCGTCTTAAAAAAGATCAATCCTTTAATGGCCTCCTTAGCTCAGGAGAGCTTTCAGGATACTCAATGCCAACTGTTTGGCCCAAGTTTTGAGCAGCGTCTGAAGACCCGTTCGGAAACAGCCGAGACTATTGGGAAAGCATCTCGAGCCGGAAAGCCTCTTTTTCGTGGGGGGGCCTCCAAGGGGTTCACAAGACCTCGAGGAGGCCGCCAGTGGAGCCAGTACTCTACATTCCACCCAAAGGGAATACACAGTCAAACAGAGGCAGTGCATTCAGAGGTCGAGGACTGGGCCCACGATTCCAGAGCCCAAGATTCCAGACCCCCCGTTCCGGAACCAGCCCTTCAAATCCGGTCAGTGACGAACCAACGTCCAATCAATTTACCCCAAGGTATGTTTTCAGATTTTGTTCAAACGCATGTAATACAAAATATTCCTCAAACAGGGCGATTAATCCACTTTATACCAATGTGGTCAAGGATCACACAGGATCCTTGGATTTTACAAACGGTTCAGGGCCACCACATAGAATTTATGAATTTCCCAATGCAACAGGTTGTACCAAAAATGCCACAATTATCCCTAATACAGGAGAGGGTGTTGGATCAAGAAGTACAGGAACTGTTAACAAAAGAAGCAGTTCACCCAGTGGTAAATCAGTCTCTAGCAAACGAGGGGTTCATAAGCTCTCTGTTTGTAGTTTCCAAAAAGGATGGGGGGAATCGTCCAGTTATAAATTTAAAACAATTAAACCAACACCTTATTTACGAACACTTCAAATGGAAGGTATACATATGTTAAGAGATCTTTTAAAACGAGACGACTATCTTATAAAAATCGATCTCAAGGATGCGTACCTTACAGTCCCAATCTGCAAGGCCCACCAAAAATTTCTAAGGTTCCTTTGGAAGGGAACTTTGCTGGAATTTGCATGCCTCCCTTTCGGTCTAGCCACAGCCCCACGGGTCTTCACAAAATTGATGAAACCCGTAGTCGCGGCCCTCAGACAGAGGGGTATTCGTCTAGTGATATACTTGGACGACATTTTGATCATGGCAGAATCGACAGCCCTAGCATTACACCAGGCAGCTTCAGCTCTGAATCTTCTAGAGGTTTGGGGTTTGTAGTAAACTACAAGAAGTCCCAACTGGTTCCCGGCCAGCTAATAGAATTTTTAGGTTTTTTAATCGACTCCACCAAACTTACCCTTCAACTACCAAGGGAGAAACTTCGAAAGATTCGAAAGAAGTGTCAAACTCTTTTAAGTGGAACAGAGATTTCAGTTCGAGAGTTATCAAAATTCCTGGGCCTACTAACCTCCTCTATTCAGGCAATATTCCCAGCCCCTCTCCACTACAAGCACCTCCAGAGGCTGAAGAACACCACAATGAGCTCGACACAATCTTACGAGGCCATTGTAACACTAGATACAACAGCCAGAGAGGAGGTGGTGTGGTGGAGAGATCACCTCCAGGCATGGAATGGCAAAGCGCTATTCCAACAGCCGGTAGATCTAGTAATCGAGACAGATGCATCTCGAAAAGGTTGGGGAGCATACTGCGAGGGGGTAAGCACAGGGGGCCCCTGGTGCTCGGAAGAGAAGAGACTTCATATCAACTGTCTCGAACTTCTTGCCGGCTCGTTTGCGATAAAAACCTTCACCAAAGACAAAGTATGTGCACATGTAAGGCTAATGATGGACAATGCAGCAGCAGTTGCTTATGTAAACAAGATGGGGGGTACTCATTCTCAAACTTTGGCCAATTTAGCAATTGCTCTTTGGGAGTGGTGCCTCGAAAATCAACTGACAGTATCAGCACAACACCTCCCTGGTATATTGAATACACGAGCAGACAGGGAATCGCGAATTATAACCGATTCCAGCGACTGGAAACTGAATCCCTCACTGTTTCAGGCAGTCCTAAGAATCTGGGGCCCACTAGAAATAGATCTTTTTGCGTCTCGGCTGACATATCAACTTCCTCAGTTTGTCAGCTGGAAACCAGACCCACTAGCCATCCAGACGGATGCCTTCTCAATGAATTGGGGGAAGATTCGGGGCTATGCCTTCCCACCATTTGCCCTAATCGGTCGATGTTTGAGACAAGCTCTATCACAGAAAGTCGTCCAGTTAGTTCTAATAGCTCCAGTTTGGCCAACACAACCTTGGTACCCCTTAGCTCTTCAGATGTGTACGGACCTTCCCCTGTTGTTTCCAATGTCGACCGATCTCTTGGAGAAAGACCACCAATCTCACCCACTAACCAACCTCCAGTTGGCTGGTTGGAGACTGTCAGCCGATGTTTCGAAACAGCTGACATTTCAGAGGAAACTAGAGAACTGTTGTTGGCAGCATGGAGAAGAAATACCACCAGTGCTTATGCCTCAGCCTGGAATAAGTGGGTTAGCTGGTGTGCTCAACGGAAAATCAATCCCATTTCAGTATCTATAAGTATGATCTTAGAGTTTTTCAAAGATCAGTTTAAAGAGGGGAAAGCTTATAGGACTATCAATGTCTATAGATCAGCTTTGTCGGCAGTTTTACCGGAAATTGACTCCAGCAAGGTTGGGGCTCATCCTTTAGTATCTCAATTGTTAAAAGGCATCTTTCATTTAAGACCTCCTCAACCAAAGTATTCCCATACTTGGAAAGTTTCTCAAGTTCTAGGCTACATTAAATCCTTGGGGAGTAATGAAAAATTGAGTCTTAAGTTCTTGTCCTTTAAGTTGGTAACTTTACTCGCTCTTACGGCCCCAGATCGATCTTCAGACTTGGTTAAGAAGGACTTACGGTTTCGTACATTTCATCCCGAAGGGGTATCTTTTACGTTACCTGGCTTATCAAAGACATCAAAACCAGGCGATTCGTTAAAATCGAGCTTTCATGCAAAATTTGATGGGGATAAGGTCTTATGCCCAGTTGATTGCTTAAAATGTTATGAAAATTGTACTAGAGGCTTTAGATCTAACGATATTGATCAACCTAACAAGTTGTTTTTGTCATACATTCTTCCTCAGAAACCGGTCACTTCACCGACCTTAGCTAGATGGATTAAAAATATGTTGGAGTTAGCGGGCATAAATACTGATATTTTTTCTGCCCATTCAATTCGGGGAGCTTCTACTTCTGAAGCATTGAGTCAGGGAGTCTCCGTTTCTGAAATCCTAGAGATGGCAGATTGGTCCCAAGAAAGCACTTTCTCAAAGTTCTAGTATAGGGCACACTTTAACGCTTCTCCTGGTAATGCAATTTTATCAGCGTATAGGCCCTAATAAAAAATTTAGCTTTGAACATGCATTGTTAAATTGAAGTCGAATATCTCGAAATATAATTTTAGATTATGCAAGTCTGTGTAGCAGATGCAGTATAATATTAATTATATGAGAGATATGAGACGAGATTTAATGCATTCCCGCCTCTTCTCCCTGCCCATGCATTGTTAGTATGTTTAGTTTTCTTTTGTGCAGGTTCCATTGCAGATCGTTCCAAAAAGACGTGAAGTTATCACAGGTCAGCGGCAATGAGGACAAGGAAGGCCAGATCGTTATGTAATAGTTATTTTGTTATCTTTCAAGTTAATTTCACTGTATTTTAGTTAAAAGGAGTGGAAAAATAAAGACAATGCATTGTTAAATCTCGTCTCATATCTCTCATATAATTAATATTATACTGCATCTGCTACACAGACTTGCATAATCTAAAATTGTGCGCAATTAAACCAAATAGCATTCTATCCAATGGCATCCTTGAGCCTTCACCTCCCTTGCCAATCTCTCCAAAGCAACGAGCAGCATAGTAAATAAGATTGTCTTTCTTCTCTGCATGAAGCACTGACATTGCCTTGGCCACAAGCCCTAAAAAGTTATGAGGCAGAAATTTAGCATCAAAAACAACTCCCTTATTAATGTCATTTACCGACCACAATCGAAATAGGTAATTGAGTAGTTGTTCCCGTTGACGACATGACAGCCTCATAAAGCCAGATGAGATCACATCAAGAATACAACCTGGAAGTTTAGTAGCATCACTATCACATAAGGAAGAGAAACCTAGCAATGGAGATCTTGCAGATGCATATGTAGTTTGCCCAGAGATACCAAGGGGAGTAGATGTGGTCTTTTGGTCAGCATGATTGGAATCCTTTTCACCAAAATAGCAAATTCCATAAGCTTCTTCAGCATCAGCAATGGTTTTGAACTTTTCCTTCAAGAATCCCCGTACAACACTTCTACATGCAAGTCCTTATAATTGCAAAAAGGGATAGGGATATCATTGCAATACATTAAATAATGTCTCTTACTATTCATATGTATGAAAAATTAGGAACAAACAAATGACAAAGTGGCAGTGATTTCCTGGACAACTAATTTAAAGGAGGTAAATAGTCTAAAATGATCCTTTACCAGTTCGCTCCTTGCCAATGTTAACACAGTTGACACCATTAGCACATTCCCCCCAAAATTCTTCATCCTTAAAAAGTGGCCATTCACAAGTGGAATCTTCATCAGGAGAATAGTAAAGGGCAATATACTCAACCAATGCTGACAATTCTTCTTCACTCCATGTTGTATTAATCTATGTAGTATTAGCAAAGGTCCATACATAAATAGCTTGTGTCAATAGACTTTCATATTTACAATCCAATCCATATTACAAATTATGTAGTTAAACAATATTTGAAAGGGAAATATCCCATTGACCCGAAATGTGCTATTTTGAACATCTCAAAACAAGAGTGGTGAATTCAAAGCCCGATATCTCGGAAATGGTGTGGGGTCGCAAGGGGTCGATCCAGCCGATTTTTTTTTTACATACTTAACTTCATTCTTACAAAGAATCTCAAAAATCGAACCACAGGAATTTGAGATTTTCAACTTTGAAAATTGTAAACTGACAAGCACATGACTCATCACTTTGGAACGACTCAACCAACTTCAGTTATAAAAATCAACTTAAAAAGTAACGCTTACCTCGATAATCTCAACAGATATCGCCAGTCCAATGAATTTTTTTTTTAAAAAATATGCGTTTTAATCAGTAAACTTTAAAAAATATACTCAATATTTTTATGTTTCTCCGTCTTATGTAAATTTTCTTGCTCAAAATCTTCGCAAGCACGCTTGGAAAATAGCGCATTCTCATTGGTCGAGAAATTCATGTGACAGCTGTCCAACCTCCTGACAGAGTATGTCATGAGTACAATGAAAAATATTTTAATCAGGAGTATTTTAGTTTTTTTTTTAACAATTAAATTTGGTGGCACCTGCAACATGGAGAGAAGCACTCAGTCTATACCACAGATTATATGAAATTGCAGTTAATTAGAACTTACTCTGAAGTGCATCAGTCAAAGCAACATTGAAACAGTAATCATTCAGCTACACCAATACACCATAATGGCAAAACAGTCAATATTTATTGTTTGAATATCATAATAGTTTTTTGCAACAAACAAACTTAAATATTGTTAAGAGTTATTAAACTTATTAGAAATAAAGGGAATATAATCAAGCAGGGAAAATGAATAAAACTTCAAAGGAATATATTATACAATAAGTTTCTACAAAAATATTTTGCTGCTTACAAGTATTCTATCTCCCAAATTATGATTAAGGCCACTTTTCACAACTTACTAAATATGCCTCCATTCATCAATGAAGTGAGGAGGACTTGTGACAAATTACCATTGGTTGTTGTCTCATTGACATACAAATAAAGAACATTTGCACAAGTTTGTGCAGAAGGAATTGCTTTCTCACTATCATGAACAAATGATATTGTGGGTTTAGGATCAAATCCAGTGGACGGTATACTCGTAACTCATAGCAAAATATGATTTGGCCTTAAAAGGGAATAAAATCTCTCTCTTCTTCTGTTAGCTACAAACTGCTATCCTCAAGAGCTTCTAGTAGAGTACCATCTATCACATGCATATATATTAAGCGAGACTGAGAGAGTGTGAGCAAAAAATAATGTGCCTATAGGATATAATCATGGACATACCTTCTAATGACTTGAGAAATTTAATGAATTTGGCCATTACAATTTCTTCTTGCTTTCTTCTCTGATTCCCTTCAGGTGGGAAGCTCGGCTTCATAATCTTTAGAATCAGCTGTGTAGCCTGTCATTTTTTTGGTAAGCAGAAAGATCTTTAGGTCTAAAATCTAAAGAAATTGAAAGTGATAGAGCCAAATGTAACAATGTACAACTAGATTCAGTCTACTCATTCTAAAGGTTCCTATTGAAATACAGCGTGTATGAAAAAAAATGTCCCAAATTTCCGTTTTGCAGGATATTTTGCAGAAGTTGGCAAATTTTTGTGTTCCTAGAGATAGATAAGACTTATCTGGTATACCTAGGCCAAGTTTGGTTTTTCATTAACAAAATTATGTTACCGGGGGGGGGTGTGGTTCCTTTCCACTGATATTGAGAGGGCTTGCGCACAAAAATGTGAAGCTCAAATTTAGATGTTATTTAGCTGTCTAAAAGTAGGAAAGCTTTTTAATAAACTGTCAACGTTTCAGGAAAAATAATGCATACTGGGAGCAACACGTGACCCGTTAAGGTGACAAATATTTCATTGCGCCCAGTGGATTAAATGCATCGTTGATTTTGGCGTATTTAAAGAACATTCATGTTCATAACAATGATAGCAATGCCGATTTTCAATCAACAAAGGCCAATTCAAATAAGGATGCAGAAGTACAAACTAATAGCTGTACTGTTGGTGGTTTTAATTCCAGCAGTAGTGTTGACCCAAAAATACAAGACAGGAGTGCTAAGAAGAACAGCATTTTAACTCGAGGAAGAGTTCACATGACGCGGACGTTCCGATGACGCTGCTGACAAAAAGAATGCAAAACAAGCTAAACTAGAAGTGCAAGATTGGAGGTTCAGTACGGTGGTGGCCCAGAATTATAAACACACATACAAATTTAAATACACACATACAAATTCTAATACACCCATACAAGTTCAAATACACGCATACAAAATTCTAATACATGCATGCAAATTTCAATACACGCATACAAGTTTAAAAACATGCATACAAATTTGAAAGTTGAAACATTCATACAAATTAAAGAGCTTAAATGACGTTTCACTCAGTTGTGAAGAATGCAGGCGTCTTTATGGTGCGTGTTTGATAAAAACAAAGATGTTTTGTTTTTATTGTGGTAATGAAATAAACGAAAATGCAAATTTTTGTAAACATTGTGGAGCCAAACATTGCGAAGCAAGTGTGTCAGGCGTTAAATCTTTGAAATCTCAATACTCAGAAACTATTAAGTTTTGAAAAATATTTAGAGAAGAAGAGTGTTCCAGGACCCAGTGGCAATAGCAAAAAAGGTGACACATCTGTGTTTAAAAATATGAAAAAAAGAAAGTAAAATGAAAGCTTAAGTCAGATTAAAAAGGACAAGAAAGATGAAATTGTGAAGGTATGAATATAATTTCAAATATAAACTGGTTGTGTTTCTAGAAATTGAGTTCACTGGTATCATACATAGGCTGTCAGATAGGCAGCCCAATGGCGAATGGTTTTATTTTTAATTTTAATTAAATGCACACTTTGATGAAATAGACACATTATGTAATTTATTTACATATAATACCTTATACCTACATTCCCTGAACATTGTCTGTAATTATATGTAAATCATGGACATGCAAGTACATGAGCATATAAATAAATGACATAATGTGTCAATTTCATCAAAGTGTGCATTTTATTTTTAAAATAAAAAATAAAACCATTCGCTATTGGGCTGCCTATGATATTATTGACATTGTTAATTTTGGCCTATGATAGCAAAGATGGCATCCTAGGGTCGATTGTTCAAAAGCCGGTTAGTTTAACTCTGGATTAACTCAAATTTTTACATAATTTTTTTAATTGTTCCTTAATTAAGTTGAACATTTTTTTCATAAATACTTTGTGGATCAAT